TGACAGGAAACCCACAAACACAAAACTATGAGCTCAGTACAACAGTGGTGAGTCAAAGGCTCTGTTCACACCTGGTATTAACAAGCGTCTCCACACGCATCTCGACTGACCGTTTGTAATTGGGTCTCACTTTCCGCAGTAATTAAAATAAGCAGGTAAATAACTTCCGTATGTAGAATCTGCCGAACATTAAAAGAAGGACAAGAAGGAATCAGAAGCTATTAGCACATTTTAGGGTAATAAAAATGCCTAAGATGTTTGTACGGAACGCCATGATACTCAAATAAAATAAATAAATATGTCTAAAGCTAAATAAAATAATAAATAAATATTTCAATGATGTGTCTCTTTATTTTAAAATAATTCCATAAACGGTATTATATTTCATTATAACACTTGTCTTCTATGTATAATTGTTAATTTGTATTTTGTAATAATGTTGCGATTTTCATTAGACAGTCCATATTATAATACATTATTTGACATAATGCAAATGTGATTACTTAAATAATTCAAACTATATTTCACAATAAATTTTTCACGTTATACACATGCATTTTTATATTACATCAACACAGTTTTTTTTTCAGGATTGACACTCCAGCCTCTTGAAAAAACTCACACTGGTCCATTCAGACTGGTGTGGTGCTGAGGCGTCACCCACTGCACGGCTGCACTCAGGATCTCCTCCCTGAGGTGGTTGGTCGTGTGGTGGGTGTGGTAAGGCACTGTAATCAGCGTGTGCTCCTTACCTTACCTACCTTACCTTACCTTACATACCTCAACACAGTACAAATGTACATGTTAAAAAAAGGTCTTTTCTAAGATATACCTAGATTAATACATTTCTATTCAAGATTAAAGGGCTCAGCCTGTAATGCATTGTGTTGGTTGCCATAGGATAATATTTTGGCTTTTAATCATAAACAGTGAAGCTCAAAATTTGTGAAAATGTTAAGAAAGACATTTAATGTTGACATTGTTTTGCCTGATGTGCTGAATTATATGTCTGACGTAAAAGGAGCAAAGTAGTCAGGGGTTTTTTTATTAACAACTTCTCCCACTTTAGAGAATCCCGCTAACATAGAACGGAGGTCGCCGGAGTGCAGAGAAACTGTATTGCAAGTTCATATCAGTGTGGATACACAGCCTTCTGCATATCCCAGAACTGCAAAGGGTCTTCAGAACGCAGTATATTTGGGTCACTGAGGTACTGCTGAACCTCCACAGTAGCATCTGCTGTAGGACTCTTGACCCATTTGCTCTGCCCCACATCACTGTCCAGAAGATCCTACAGACCTGGAACTAAAATGATAAAGCATGAATCATTATATACACTATGCATTTTGTACTGTGCAATAATACTTATTTATCCCAATTCAGTTTAATTGAACATTCACATTAAAATGTGAAAGGTTGGAACAGTACCAGTGTGCATTGCAGTACCAGATGAGGTTCCTGCAGGCTCTGGTTCTGGTGGCATTTTGGTGTGGATGGGTTCTGCTGGGCCTCCTGTAATCTTATGCTGGATACACACTCTGCTGTAAGGCGTTTCACAGCAGCCTGAGCATTTGATTGGTTACAGACACCTGCAGTTTTATATCTTGGACCCAGCAGTGTGGCCAGTGTCATTATGCTCATGGTCTCATAGACTGACAACCTCTCAGTGAGCAACTTCAAGAGGTTCTTGCACAACTTTTTACCTTGAATCCTGATACTCTCTTCTCTTCAGAAAGTGCAACAGTTGCCTCATTGAAATGTCATAAAACACCCAGACAATCATAAATTATATGATATTCCTCTGAGGTCAGGGTTGTGAGCTCTGTCTTCAGAGTGACCAATGCAGCACCAACTGGCTCTCCTTGATCATGTGATCACTGCAGCATTGAATAGCTGCTATTCCAGCTGGTTTCTACTTCTTGAATCATTCTGAGAATGGGTCTGTCCATCTGCTGTTGGATTTGACAAAGCCTTTCTCTAGCAGTTGTACTGGTTCTGAAGTTGGTCACGCACAATCTGTCATGCCTTGGATCTGATATCGTCAGGTCCTTGTGTCTGATCAATGGCCTTCTTCACAACCAAATTCAGTGCATGTACAATGCAGATTGTGTGTCTGACACAGGCAATCAAATTTGGTGCAGCATCAGTCTCTAGCATCAGACTTTATTTTGTGTTTTTGCGCCTCATTTTCAATTTCCAAAACAGTCAGATGGTTGAGTACAGAACAAACCTTCGGATGACCATGGTCACATGTTTAGGGTGGAATGGCGGAAACCTCAAAGCTGTGCTTCAGAATGTAGTGAATAGTTTTTTTGTCACATACCTCGGAGCTTCGGTGTCAAGCTTAACATCACTAGCTGCCCCATTCCCTCTGTTAGTCTACGTATCGTTTTCTTAGCTACTTTTTCCCTGGTGAATTCTGACCCCTTGTTGTTCCTTTATTTTTTGTCTTTCCAGTTTTGTTCAGTTTCCTTAAATCCCTTTGTCTTGGAGCTTTTACGTGGATCGTCACCTTGTTTCCCTGCCTGCACCAGGCCACGCCCCAACATGCTCATTATCATATGATCTGTGCAAATTCCGAAACATCTTTAATAAATCACATCTTACGCATTATCTTTTCTGAATTTGCATGTAACATCAGTGATGCACACTATGACACGGTTTCCGTATGAATGGGTCACAACAGTCCAATATTAACCCAACTTCCCAGCAGATTCAGAGTTTTTAGTGTCACAGGAGAAAAGATGCATTATTGTTGTTCACAATGCAGTTTACTGCACAGTGGCCCATTATCAACT